TCTTCCCCCCGCCCCCGCCGGCGCCAGCCGCTGCTCCTGGAGCTCACGTGGCCCAGCCACATGCTTTGACACCTCCAGCCCCGAGCTTGCTCCCCAGGCAGATGACCAGTGGAGGAGTCACCAGCAACATGACCAGGGCAAACTCTCCCCTCCCCCTCCCGGGCCCCACTGCCCTGCCAACATGGCCCAGCCTTGGCCAGATCTCGACCCACGCAACCCTCAGCCCGGCGCTGGAGCTGGACTTGCTCTTGGAACTGCACCGAGTCCCACCAAACTCAGCGTGACCTGCCCACCAAACAGCATCCCACCCTGAACACGTCGGACCTTGTCTGAACTCGGAAGCCAAGCAGGGTCAGGTCTGGTTTGTATGTGGATGGGAGACCTTTTAGGAATAGTTGTGCTGTGGCTGCAGGTTTTGTGATCTACCTAGCCAAGCTGGGCCCAGCCACCCAGCTACCCTCTTCACTGGGACAAGCATCTCTAAATCCCACACAGGCAGTGACAGCCAACTGGGCAAGAGCATCCCCAGGCTGAGATCTCAGATGCGTGGACATTTATCTTCCATCTCCCCAGCGCCTCGCCTCGGCCCACACAGCAGCCGTTTGGTGAGGCTCTGCTCCCAGGGGCCGGATGCGTCTCCAGCGTAACCGCACCAAGGCTGGTGCGGTGACCATGGGGTGACTCCCTCGCCCCCAGTCACATGGTGAGTGAACTTCCCCATTCCTCAGCTGTTCCCGATCGCTACTGAGAAGCTGCCACCCATCCGCCTTACAGGAAAGAGCCGTGGGTGACCCCAGCTGCGTGTCTGGGATTGCCACACAAAATCAGAGTCACGACAAGGGGCCCACAGGTCAAGAAACCCAGCTGCCCCTTTCACAAGGCAGGGGCCGCCCTGGCGGAACGTCAGCTGAGCTGCCCCACACGGCCGGGTCTAGCCTCCCCTTTGTTTCCGGGCCGGGAGCTGGTGCACAGCATTGGTGCGTATTGTTAATCAACTGCTGAGCTCCACCCTAGAGCTGGCTGCATTTCAACAGTGGGTGAAGCAATCGCTTCCTGCTCTTCCACCCTCTGGGGCTGGGTCCCATCTCAGGCCCTTGCGCTCCGCCCCACCTCGACCGACTCCAGCAGCATCTTCCGGGGATGAGCCCAGCCCAGTTCCCAGGCACGCCCTCCCATGCCACCCCCTGGAAACCCGTCAGGATTTCTGGCAATGGGCTGCCCTGATTGCTACTTCCCCCCTGTGCCGGGAACCCACGCCAGCCCTCTTTCCTTACATTACTGCTCTCCCAGCCCTTAACAGGGCCCATTCCTCCGCACTGCTCCTGGAAACCTGCCTGGGGCTTGAAGAAGCCGGCAGCAGAGGGGAAGCAGGAGTAGCTGCACTATGGCCAGACTTATTCAAGCTCCACCCGACCCGGAACACAAGGCATCTCTCACTAGACCCTGAACCTCTCCCGGCGCTCACAGACACGCTGGCTCCACCCGCCCCAGTCCCGCCTGGCTGGAGCGAAACCGAAGTGGAGACTCCATAGCCAGCCAGCGTAACCTGCCTGGTGTCAGCCCCGCTCTGCAGCGCGGGACAGACCGGGGGCTTGGTTGGCAGGGACTCGGCAGACTGAGCGTTGGGCTAATGGGCGTCATAATCCCCCTTCTGTCCCCAGCAGATCCTGGCCTTGTCTTGGTCCTATGCTTCAGACCCAGGCGGCCCGGGCCACTCGCCAGCCTGCCGGGGGCACAGGTCAGGCTCCAGGGCTGCCCTCGCATGGGTGATGGGGAATCAGCCAGAGGTTACCACCACCCTCCACCAGTTTAGTCCTCTGCTCTCCAAGGCAGCGTGGAGGTGGGGGGGGACCCTTTCTTCCTGCCAGGGGGAGACATCCTACCCGAGCGCCCTGGGGGCACCAAAGGGGCCAGCTACTGAGCAGCACCGTGCCCCCCAGCCTTGCTCTGGGACTCACCATTGACCTCTGCCAGCAACACCTCTTCCCCTCCCCACCCCCCGAGGCCCAGCAGTTGTGCTGGGCCTGGTTCCTGCCAACCCTCTTGCAGACCAGCTGGCTTGTGAAGCTCACAGCCCGGAAGCCCAGCCACGCCCTGGGGAAGGGAGGCAGATAATGGTGAGGGACCCACCTGCTCTTCTCTGGCACCGCCCTCAGCTATTGGCCCAGCTGCATCCTAGGACAACCGGGAGGCAGGGAACTTGCAGTGCGGAGATGGGGGACCAGGCCAGACGGGGGGGCAGGGCCGAGGACAGAGAAGGGCACGCATCCGGCAGTGCAAGTGGCCCCAGGAGGGGAAGGGACGGAAGAGGAGCAGGCAGGGCTGGCGTGAGGCGTGTGCAGTCGGCTCCCCATCACGTAACCTCGTGCTCTAGGACTGACCCTGCTCCAGGCTCTAGTCTCGTACTGCAGATGTCGACAACTGTATTAGCCATTAAAATAACGATTGCAAAGTTCCAGTTATATTCAAAATGCCCACGCCCAGAGATTTGTTTAAGGAGGTAAAACGTTCTCTGCGACATACACAAATAAGGTGGAAACATGTGAGTCCATTTTAAACCAAGCGCCACCGGAGTCTGTAATGCTCACGCTGCAGTGTAAAATAGAGTCACAGAATCCTCGGGCTGGAGGAGACCTCAAGAGTCCAGTCCCCTGCCCAAAGCAGGACCAACCCAACTCAATCATCCCAGCCAGGGCTTGGT